GGGGGGGGTCGCTTGCCGGTACTGCTTGGTGTGGTGCCAACTATCCAGATCTCAGTGGCTGGATCATGTGGTTGGCGAGCGGTGGCTAGAGGGTTGAGACGTGGATGGAGGATGGTGGGTGATGGGTGCCCAGATGCCGCTCCGCAGGCAGGGACTGGAGACAGGACAGAGGGAAGGAAAATTTCCATGTGCCCGTGCGTGAGTACCACGCGTCCCTGATTGCCCAGTTTGAATTCCCGAGTTTGAAGTACTTAGACGAAGAACATCCCGTTAAAATTTCATCTTTTCAGCTTTTCTGTTTACCGAGTTGCCAATTTTCCTGCTGAAACTTTCACGTGCCCGTATTTGAGTACGATGCAAACCTGGCGGCTGAATTTGAAATAATCTTAAAGTTATACTGGGTGAGGAACATATCCTTAAAATTTCAGCTTTCTAGCTTCCCTTGTCCCTAATATAGCAATTTTCACGTCAAGATTTTCACCTGTTTCTACGTGGGACACGGGCGTGTTATAGAGCTGAATCTTAAATCTTTTGATCATATATGAGTAGGGAACATCTCTTTAAAATTCCAGCCTTCCAGCTTTCCTCGTTCCCGAGCTGGCAGTTTTCTCGCCAAAACTCTTCGTATGTGAGGCCCAGACAATTCTAATGAGCTGAGTTTGAAATATTTTAGTCGTACATGAGAAGGAAACACTGCCCCAAAGTTTCAGCTTTCTGCTTTTTCTCGTTCTCGAGTCAACAGTTTTCCCGCCAAAATTTTCATGTGCCTATACGTGAGACGTGGGCGTGTATGACAGTTGATATCAAATTCCTGGGGTCGCACTTGGCCAGGAAACACAATGGCAAAATTTCAACATCAAAGCTTGCGTGGTTGCTGAGTAAAAACACCCGGACAGGCGAACATACACACACATGCACAAAGACAGGGTCGTCGCAATATGCGTCTTTGCTGCCTGTTGTAGCGCTATAGCTCTGCACAGCAAAAAAGCATAAAAACATATGGCACAAGCTGACCAACCTGTATATCCTGAATGTCTTGATCTATAAACGGTCCATTGCTTCCCGGTCCAAAACTCTGGCCAGCAAAGCTCGAGGACGGACTTGCAATTGCATCATCAAATGATCTTGAAATGTAGGTAATTAAAAAACATGACACAATGACTCGCCACAGAAACCTAATTTATGTAAATGCATCGATACAAATCTGAATCCATGGAGTCATTTTTTGTCCCTTTTAAAACTCCACAACTTGGCAGCGTCTGATCTGAATGATAACTTCCATAAGTTTCGTGAATAATAACAGAATATTGGTAAGAAAATGGTGTTCGCT